GAAAGAGTGAAGCTCTCCTAGCAGTTGCTCATCACCAATGGCACAACAAAGAAGCATTATTCTCTTTAGAGTGGTGTTGCAGAGCAAAGGCTCAGTTGAGTACATCTCCAATCACATCAATTGCCTGTAGAACTCCAAGGACTAAATAAACTGGGGGTATCCCTGCACGTGTGTTTCTGGCTCCTGGCCTCTGCACTGTCTGGCTGTTTGAGTTCCTCTCCATGCTGGGGCTCTGAAGACGGGGATGCCTCCCCCTCTGCTAGGTCTTCCTCTAACTGGAAGGCTTTGGGTTCCTGACAGATGGGTGGAGTGAGATGGCACTGAACCCTTGGACTGCATTTGCAGTGTGTAGAAAAATTGCCCTCCTGCCTTGGCAGATAAGGCACCCATTCACTTCTGTGAGCCTCAGCTCTGAAAGAGCTGACATACAGCATTGGCCTCAAACAGTGCTGTTACATGGTGAACACGGAAGAGTTTCAGAAAGAAGCATACCACCAGAGTTCTAGGCTGTAAGTCAAACTAAACATGGAAAAAGAACTAGGGTGCAGTTAAAAACCCCACAATAATCTCTCCAGAAGTTATGCTGCAAGGCTGTTGGCTACTTTATTGAACTTTCATAAGGATGTTAAGGTACAGGGAAGAATATTGTAGCAGTTTAAAGTCACCTCGTGATTAAGATCTCCTGCTGCTTTGGAAGACGGCAGGATGCTTGAAGGGTTTTTGTTTTACTTGAGTGAGGTATTGGTAGGGATGAGTAATATGGCAAAGACCACCTGAGACATGGACAAAGAGAGGACTGTGGGAATCTAGACACGGGGTGGAGGAGGAGGACAGGGGACAGAGGGAGTCCCTAGAGAGGTTTTTTTTTTTTCTTTTTTCCTAGAGAATTCTAAATAAGTCTTACCACCACCTCCATCTCCCTAAGAGATATTCAGTCAAAGAGCCATTCTGTGGTTAATGCAGAGTGGAGTTGTGAGTATTCCTGAAACCAACAAACCCAGGTCAAGGGTGTAGGATAAACATGGAGCTCCATCTGAAGAGCCCGACATGACTGACTACAGTAAGTTCTGCAGGGACCTTAGGAACTTGGTAAAACCCTTCAGTTTTGGGTGAGGGAATAGAAGGTCAGTGGGTTAACTGTGTTCATATAGCTGTCGAAGAAGAAGGTTCACGTCGATGGCTAGAGATTCTACCGACTCTTAGTTTTGGTGTGATCTAAGTACCTTTAACTGTTTTTTCCTGAGGGGAAAAAAAATCTCTGAGATTTCCATAATGCAGAAATCCCTGGGGGGAATTGAGATTTTACTTTACTTCCAGAAACACAGACTGTTTTATCTGCTTTAGGTGGCTCCCTCCTCCATTCCCT